AGGGGAGACAAAGCCTGCGCTCACAGGCTAGGAGGCCACACCGTCAGGGTGTCAGCTCTGGACCAGTTGCACGGATCGTGTCCTGGACCTGGGCGCGTGTGTGTGTGCCCAGGACCCTGAGAGGAGCATGGAGGAGAGGGAAGTGCAGGGTGGCCATCCTCCTTGGCTGTGACTCATCACTGCCTCGCTCTGCCTCTCGGACAAGTGCGTGCACACCACGGCCATCTTACACGGACAGGAGAGCGCGGCCTTCCCGGGAGCTGGGGTGCTGCTGCTGCAGTCCTTTTTGCCTCCATTTGTCCATCCTGTCAGGGTTCTGGGCACGCACACATGTGCCTGGTGTGTTTTTCTAGCCATTGGGGCCAGGATTCAAGCGGCAGTCAAGAGGGATCGGGCTCCCTCTGTCCAGCACCGACACTGGGCTGGGCTTCCAGCCTGCAGGCGGGGCCCTCGGGAGCACGTATGAGGCCACGCCGGCTTCCACGGGGGCCAGAACAGTCCTGGAGGAGAACACAGCAGGACTCGCATCTCGACTTCAGCACTTCCTACGAAGTCCGAGTAGTCAGAGCGGCGTGGTGCTGGCCTACAGAGAGACACGCAGACCGGCGGGGTGGGGCGTGGTGCAGGCCCGGGAAAAGCGCTCCTGCGTGGCCCCGTGGGCCCAGTGGGCGCCGAGCTCATCAGATGGGACGAGGACATCTCAGCAGCTGGTGCTGGGAAAGCTGGATGTCCCGTGTGGAAAGTGACGCCACGGTCGAGCATCAGCCGGAAGTAGGTGCAAGCCTTGGCCCCTGGGGCTCCCAGAGTGTGGCGAGGGCTCCTGGCAGCTGGATCTGCCGGTGATGGTCTGGCCATTGAAGGCAAAGACATCGAAAGAAAGACAAACTGGATTTTTAAAAAATTTACTTTATTTAACTTTATTTATTTGTTCATTTATTTTATTTTAATTTGACCAGAGAGGGACAGAGTGAGAGAGAGAGAGAGAGAAAAAGACACAAGCCACCAGGTCCAGGACTCAAACCATGGTCGGCCATGTGGAGTCCAGTGCCCTTAGCCACCACGCCACCTGCTGGCTTGGCAAACTGGACTCTTAAGACTTTTGTCCTTTGAAATTCAATATGGTAAAAAGCAACCCACAGGAAGAGAGGAAGTGTTTGCAAATCTCCTAGCTGGGGGGGCTGACAGCCACGGTAGATGGTGAGCTGGGAGGGCACCTGGGGGGCTGACAGCCACGGTCGATGGCGAGCTGGGAGGGCAGAGACCGCAGAGGCCTGGGCCGCAGGGCCAGCAAGTGTGGGCACCGGGGGGCCTCACAGCCACGGTAGATGGTGAGCTGGGAGGGCACCTGGGGGGCTGACAGCCACGGTCGATGGCGAGCTGGGAGGGCACCTGGGGGGCTGACAGCCACGGTCGATGGCGAGCTGGGAGGGCAGAGACCGCAGAGGCCTGGGCCACAGGGCCAGCAGCGGTGGCTCGGCAGTGACACGCCTGGCGGCACTGTCCCGGCACGAGGCCCTGGGCTCACGACGATCTCCTCGTGTGTAGGGCCACAGTCCAGCTGTCGGGTGGGTCGTGGCGTAAGACCCTGCTGAGGGGCCAGCCTGGGCTAGTGGTTAGGGAAGCTGGAGCCCGTGTGACCCGTCGTACAATCGTGAGTCCTGGCCGTGGTGGCTTGAAGCTACGCTGGGCGTGTGCGCGCCATCCTGAGGGGCAGGACTGGAGGAAGGGATTGCAGCCTGACCATTTCTCACGGGCCGGTCTCTCCCCGCGCTCCGCGTCTCTTCACGGGCCGGTCTCTCCCCGCGCTCTCCGTCTTTTTGGTGAGTGCTTGTTCCCTTGAACACATGAGAAAAACAGGACCCTGCGAGGGACGCCTGCCCCTCCTCCCTCCTCATCTCTTCCCACTCCGCTTCTTCCTCTTATGTCTCTCTGTCCTCTTATGTCTCTTTCTCATGGAAGAAATAAAATTTAAAAGTTTAAATGAACAAAGAAGGTGCGCACAGGGTCAGGAGCGTGTGAGAAGATGCGGCCTCCCTGGTGTGAGGGCGGACGGCGACCAGGTCACATGGGTCCTGCCCCACGCGCGTCAGGATGGGGTGGGGACCAGGATGGTCCGTGCACAAGGCCAGTGGTGGCGCCCCGCTGAGCACAGGAGCACCGTTTGGCCCAGCTCTCCCCGTTGGGAACATGCCCCCAGGAGTGTTGGGACGATGACGCCGGCGGGACTGGGGCGCAGCAGGCAGAACGCAAGGGCTTCCCTCCTGTGTGGGCACAGCGCGGTGAGCCTCCGCCTCCGCCCCCGCCTCGCCTCCGCCCCTGCCTCCGCCCCGGCCTGGCTGCTCGGCCCC